CTAAAATACAACTATACTACCTTATTGTACGACTCAGATAGCTTATGCTAGTGTGAACTTTAACTGAGCCACATTAGTTTATAGTTAGATTTTTCTAAAGATTTAGTTGCATTTTACTTTTAATTTAGCATGGGCGCTCCTTTGCTCAAACCTAAGTGGTCTGGTTTACTAGTGAAATACCTACAACTCTGTTGAATCTATTCCATCTGTCAAATGCTAACTGACAACACTCCTGAATCACAGTTATTGAAAAAGGCACAACTTGTCTACACAGAATGCTTACCACCGCTTACCGATCTTATTTTTGCTAATCCAGGGACTATTGATTGATATATTCCATAAATCAATTTGTGGACACAGCTCAGCTTGAAGCCTCTCTGAGACTAAAAGCAGAGTATGCTTCCCCCTACCCCACCCCCTGGAAGTAAGTTTATTGTTTTATCTGATTATAAAATCAGGACAATAAAATGGGGGAGAAAATGTAATACATTGTAAATTTAGCAATTATAAATTTAAGCAATTCAGAAAAGTTGAGGAAGAAATTTTTGTAATTAAAAATCATCCAGAATCTTACCACTTACACGTTATCATAATTATTAATATTTTGTTGTCTCTCGGACCTTTTTCTCTGTATATATACATACATAGATTGACCTCATTTTTGTTTTAAAAATACCTATCGTGCAATTCTGTATTGTAACCGGCTTTTTTTTCTTAAGAATATGTTACAGGCATCTTTGTATAGCAGTATACAGTACAGTGAGGATTTTTTTTGGTCATTGTTGTTCTCTTACTACCCCCTACTTCTCTCAGTTTCTAATTTTTATGATGAGAATTTTATTACAGTTGAGGACATAATCATAATTTTGTGAGGGTATGCATCACTTTAGTTTTTTTCAGTTAAAAAAAATCATTGAATTGTAGTTACCCTTGCCAAAAGATAAAGAATGAAGCAATTACATATTCCCCCTGAGATTGGTGAAATTTGTTCTGTAAATTAACCGTTTAAGAAATTCACTGCAAAGGTCGGTTATATCGGATCTGTAATTGTGCTAAGGTTCAGATGCAGCTGGATACTACCTATTCCTTATCTTTGATGAGAGAGTGGTGATGGAAGTGGGAGAGATCAACAGTTTGCTTGAGAATAGCAATTAGATGTGCACCGTACTCTTACTTTCCTGTGTGACCTTTCTCCTAGGAGCCAAAAACGAGGGGTCAGGAGAAGCCAGCTCATAACACTGATACTGTGGTTACCACTTCTAGCTCACTGAAATCTAAGGTGTTATGCAGAAGATTGGGGGATAGTGTGTGGTATTGCCGTAGAGTCAGATTTAAACATATGACACAAATTGAAGAGAAAAACATTTTTGCATTTGCATGTACAGGTAAGCAATTCTGCTGTTCTCACAACCTCCAGAAATGCAGAAATGAAGAAACACATCTCCTGTTTGATTATTCTCTAGACAGCCAAAGTAAACTTTGTAACATTGATGTGGTGACAGTCATATAATCTGAAATAATGTTTCAGGATGCAACAAGTCAGTGTTACAGAGATCTCTGATTTTGGTTACAATAATCTTTTCACATTTTCTGTTGTTGAATTAAAACCTACTTTCTTCCAAAATTGTGGGCACACAATTTTGAAAAAAACACTGTAATCTTGGTTTCCATACTATGCCCTTCATCTATCCAAGACTTATACTGAATGTAGAGTATGTATGAATATAGAAGTATAGAAGAATAATAAGTTAACACTTACTGAGACTTATTATGTTCCAGATTCTCTTCTAAGTCTCTGCATATTTACTCATTAGAGAAGGAAGTGATATGGTCAACTAGTGCCGTTATTTGTTTGTTGCAACACTGCACTTAAACCTGATGTCATTCTGAATCTGATATGTATGAATTACTCCCAAGTATTAGAGCACTTCAAGACCCAGAACTCAGCAATGCGACCTTTAATTGACCCAACTAGGACTTCTTTGTCAGTTGGTGGGGTGGGCTAGAAGCCATAATGGTTTAAAAAATGGAAATGATTTTAAATGGTTTAAAAAATGGAAATTGTTTCATTATGATTCTAGGTATTGGAACCAAGGGTCTTTGGGTACAAAAAGTTTCGCAAAGAAAGTAATCAGTAGAGTTCAGACAGAGGGAAAGGTCCATGTGAAGAGAGCAGATGAAAATAATAGCATGAGCAAAAATGTCTCATCAAAGTTTACAGAAAAGCAGTTTTCAAATTTACATGCCTAATTGTAAATACTAACATTTACATTTCTAGAAGCTCAGAATCTTAGAATTGGAAGAGACCTTAAGGAATTATGTTTTGCAACTCCCCTCATTTTATAGTTCAGGAAAACCAAAGCTCAGAGAAATTAATTGATTTGCCCCAAATCTCACAATGAAATTAGTAGTAGGCCTCTAATTTCATTACAGTGCTCTAACCTGTGGCCACCATGGACGCTCTTTTAGCCTGTCTTCTTTTTCTAGTGGCAAGTGTTTGCTTGCCCTCCTGGGCTTGAGAAACAAAAGTCCTTGAATCTTTCTCATGGTTGCTCTTGTCTAGAGCACTAAGAAGTCTGGGGCTTGGGCTCTTAGCCTCAGGAGGTCTGGCAGTTAGGCTCTGGATTCTCCTCTGGCTGCCATTATACTTGCTACCATTTAGGGTTGGTTGAACAAATCATTCCTCAAGAATCTGAGGGGAGAAAATATCATTAAGAAGTGCTTTCTTATAATTAAATATAGTAGGTATCTAAACAGGTGAATGCCTGTGGTAGTAAGCCATGTAATGAGAAAAAAGAAGACCAGATCATTCATGGTCTTGTTAAAGAACATGTGGCTGGTAGCCCTGTGGTCTTCCTAGAAATATTTGCAATTTTAAAGGAGGAGGATACTTAAACACAACTCTCTTTGGTATAATTTTAAAAGTAAACATTTCAGACAATGGAAGGAGATTTATGTATACACTAAGTCACCCTTTCCTAGAACATTTGACTCCCCTAGGCTATTCTTACTTTTCATAATCTCTTACTTTCCTTGACTTGTTAACCCAAGGAAGTCCAAAGCTTTTTCTTTGATGGTTGTCACTGGCTATGAAGGAGTATTCTGCTCAAGTAAGTATGGCCATTTGGAAGTATAGGTCATTTATAAATTATGAACCTGTAAGTACAAGTCTCCCTATATTTGTTAATTGCATTAAGAGAAAAAGAATCAGAGAGTAAAATGTTTTTGTTGCTTCTACCTGGTCTGGAATTTCAGGGAAGTAAAGGAACACTCTTGTTGTCCAGAGCCAGATCCATTGTTAAAAGTTCATGCCATCGTTTTGACATTTAGCGTCGGACTTGCTCTTTGTAAATCCCTCTTCACTTTACCAGTGCTGGTCTCAGAGCTCAAACTGTTTCAAAACCATAACATTTCTTAGTGAGTGATTGATCTGTATTATGTGTCCAGCCATCAGGGAGATCTTGGGATGTTGCTTGTATAAACTGTAATCCAATCTGATGCTGTGCATTTAGTTACAGTCTTTCATAGACCTATTGGTGATACTCTATCCTCCAGGATTTGGGAATAGGGCTTATCTGATACCTTCAGGGGAAAAAAAATCCATTCATTTTTCTCTCTTCCCCACTTAAATAACTCAGCACATCTGGTAACACTGTAGGATCATTGTCCTTCCAGTTCCTCTGCAGCTCATATTGCTACAATATTTCTTAAGTATTTGGTTACCTAAAGGGCAATGTGATTTGAAAAAAAAAAGACTTTGTATAGGCCTTACAAATTAACCCATCTGCAGAGCTAGAAAAAATATGCCTTTAATCAGAAAAATATCCATATCAGCAGCCTTGTGTGTGTTATGCAGTATGAATGTAAATATAAATTTGGTGATAAATGCTCGTGTGTTAAAATTTTAAAGCAAGTCTTTCTATAAATTAATGTAGTTTGCCTCTAAAAAAATGTTTATTAAATCCAAGGCACCTGAGATTGAAGTATCTTGTTGTTTGGGTCTGTATCCTTTGGCTTAATAATGTCTTCAATTACAAGAATGATAAAAGCTGAAACAGAATCCTTTAATTCAATCAAAACCGACCTAAATTTTAGGAAGCAAAGACTGGGAATCTGATACAGGACTGCATAATATAGGAAGCTAAATATACAAGATATTAAGACTTCGCAATAAGTGGATGGGATTGCCTTAAGGAATTATTGCTTGAAATGGCTGTGTCGAACATTATAATAAATACCACTATTTTATCCTCTTGAATTAAGATGGCTTATGCAAACAACTCTAAATTGTACAGTAGTTCCAAAGAGACCATTTACTCTCTTTTACATTCTGGAACAAGTTCAAAGCTTTTGATTTTGCTTGATTTTTTTTTTTAATAGCCTGAGACTTGAAAACAATGCAGGTTTGATGAACACGATTTTAATACTGCAATTCTGTAAAAATTTTCAGTGTTTATGGTACATTTGACCCAGAGGCCCTAAATCAAATATATCCATGGTGCATTTTTTGTATAACAGAATGAACACATTTGAAAGGTTAACCATTCTTTTGCTTTTGCTTTTCTTTCTGTATTAAGTACGAAAGTTAGCATTGTAATGGCTCCCAGAAAGGGGATATTGAAAAACTGTCCACTTGACAGAAATAAACATACAGAAAATAAATTAAATTAAGATTTCATTAGTTATCTGAAATTTAAGTTTATGTTTTAAATGGCTATTACTGGATTTTCATATGTATTAGTTAAATGCTATACATACAAGATTTTTTTTTTTTGCTTGAATTATGACTGAAAAAAATTGGATCACAGCTCTGATAACCAGGTGGGCAATGCTATCTGCCAGGATCTTTGCACATAACCCTGTTTTTTCCATCAAGCACAAGTACTGCCTTGCTACTAAGCCCTCTGAGGCATTCTGAGGTAAAAATAGGGATAAACTTTTTAAATTGTTTGTTTTAATTTTTTTGTTTGTTTGTTTTAATTTTTGTTCTTGTTTTTTAGGTTGTGGAACTTCTAGCAAGTGCCCTTATGGACTTGGTACAAGGAGTATACCATGAAAATTCTACTTCAGCAAAGGTAAGGATTTGGTAGTCATTTTAAAATGTTAGGTTAAAAACTCTCATGGCAAAACTAGACTTGACGAGCAAAAATGTCATTCTTGTTTTGTGTTTAAATTGTACATGACATTTTTTTTAGATTAGTGTTTTGGCTACAAATTCATGACCATACGCTTAGTACATAGCAGATTTAGCCAAGTAAAACAACCTCTTATCCTCTGGCTGGATTCACAGTCTATTCAGTCTGCAGCAGCCCAGTAGACACCAGGATGCTGCTGGCTGGCAGGTAGCACTGTCACGAAGCAGGCAGGCTGGAGGAACAGCTCAGGCTGAGGTGGCCGGGCCCAGCCTTTCCCCAGAGGAAGGGGCCTTCAAATGTCCCAGAAGAGTGGCCGTGATCCCAAGAAGATGAATGTTGGGGACGTGAGGGAGGAATGTCTTCTTGTATCCAAGAGTCAGAATTTACTGCATTATTAAATTCTCTACGATAAGAAGTAGGATGGTTGCACAGTTGGATTATTTTGATTAATTTTATGGATCTAGAATTAAGGTTTTTTGACTCATTTAGCAGGACATCTCAAGAAGGGTTAGATTTCATTTCCTTAAAATGCAGTTATTTCATTTCAGTAGGATCTTGAATGTGAAGTAATTGCTTCATTGACCACCACCATCATTTAACATGGTATATACTATTATAAGGGATTCCTATCTCAGTGTTTCATTATCCTAACTTCTTTAGCTTCTGTATTAGCAAGATTTCACTCACTACAAATTAAAAAAAATATGCATGTATGCCCATCTTAAGATTTTTTACATTTCCATTTGAAAAAAGAAAGACAAATTTTACTGGAAGTGAAACATAGGGCATGAGCAACTTAGATAAGAAATTTATAATTTAAAAGTATACCCCAGGGACTCTGGATAGTTCAGAGAGTAGTTAGTGAAATGTGAAGAATTGTACCTTGGACATCTGCTAACATTTGATTCACCCACAGTTCCCGGTAGGCATATCTAACTTCATCTAAGCAGCATAGTGATATGTGGGGACCCAGCAGAATATTTGACCACAGTGGACCCCCTTTGCTGTGTTTTTTTCAAAAACATACCGTAGTTCACTACCATGGCTGAGGGTTAATAGCAGATTGTAAAATGGAGGATGCTGGTCTAGTTCCACTCATAGAAACTCATCTAGTATATAGTATGATGAAGATAATGATAGCTAAGCAAATAACACTGTGGTAGGTAATTGACCCTTGTTTCTTCGCTTAATCTTCACAGAAATCCTGCTAGCAGATACTATTGCTGTCGCCATTTTACATATGTGAAAACTGAGGTTTAGAAAAGATTAAGTAATTTGCCCATGGGCACACAACCTGTTAGTTGAAATTTGAACTCCAGAGCTGCCTCTATACTTGCATGAAACCTGATTTGCTAGCATCCCTCTGCCTGAGATCCCACCATGTATGATGATTACAGCGACCTCTTCTGGCAGTTGAGGCATTGTTTTCCCCTCCGGGATATTTCCAAGGTGTTCATCTTAGTTCCAGGTCAGGTATTAATATTATACAGTTAAATATCTGTTAATTTTTAAGTGAAAGTGTTATTATTGGTTTTAAGGTTCTTGATTTATCCACTCTTACTGATTGTCCACTATAATTAGCCCAGTTCATTAATAATTTTGTAAACATTTTTTAAGTGCTTTCTATATGTCAGGCAGACCTAATAGCAACAACAATAATAAATGCTTAGTTAGCACTTTAAGTTTGCTTATACTTTCTTTCTACACAATCACCTGCGAAAAGGGTGACATTTGTTGGTATACCCATTTTATAGAGGAAAAGCCTGCAATTCAGCTGAACAAATGGCAGGAAAGCATAGTGTCTGGAAATTATTAATGCACGTTTGACATTGACATGATCTGAACACAGGTTTTTTGACTCCAAGACCCATATAATGTTTCTTCCTGGGAAAGAGAAAAGAGGAAGTAGCAGTCTTTGAAGGACTGTTGATCATAAATGAACTGCCACTTAGCAAGCACTGATTGCTGACTTTGATTAGCTAATAAGTTTACTCAAAAGCAAAGCTTTGTTCATCTGCCCTCTTTCCCGACCACCCTAAACACAGTCCTTTAAAGCACTCGAGACCTTTTTTAAGCAGTTATATTTCTAAATATAACCAAACCATTTAAAGAGCCGTGTTTTTTTTTTTTTTTAAATAAAGGAAGCAAAAATGCATAGTTGAAGTGAAGCAGTGGGAGTGCTTCTTGATGCCTCCATTTGCGCCCCAGGTCCAATTTAGGTTAACCACATTTCCCTTCCTAACCAGAGAAATTCTGGCTTTTTTTTTCCCCCTCTGAATGTGCTTCCCATTGGAATGGCTGTTCAGAATTTGGTTGTTCTAACTCGGCCCAGGAATCACTTCAGAGGCAGAGAGAGCACTGCCCCACGTGGAGTGCCTTCAAGGTTTTTATGTCCTAGCATGATTAGGAAGCAGCCACAAGTTGAGGTCTTGTGGGAAGTGAGTTGCACAACCTCCGTAGCCTTGGGCCAATTCAGTACACAAAAGAATTGCTTTGTGATTTAAAATAAGCTGCAAACCATTTCATCTCTCTAGGGATAAAAGGATACAATAGCGGTCTGTTTTCTATATGGCTACTTAATGCAATGATGGAGAATCTGGGTAGCTTTCTGTGGAGTAATGTCTGTGTGACTAGGATAGACGCATTAAAGCAAATGGAGGGAAATTGGAACTGAATTCGCTCAGAATCCTCTTGTCCAGAAGAATTTTGTAGATAATTACCTAATCCTAGTTGCACATCCTTCTGGTTGTTGTATGTGGGATGCCGCCTCAGCATGGCCGGACAAGCAATGCGTCAGTGCGCGCCCGGGATCCGAGCCTAGGCCGCCAGTGGCAGAGTGCACGTGCTTGGCCACTAAACTGTGGTGCCAGCCCCAGATTCAATATTCTTAAAGATGTCAATTCTCCCAAAATTAACTCACAGATGCAATACCTTTCTCATCAAAAGCCCGATAAAGTCTTTCAAGCAACTTCAAAAGTTGTTTTTCAAATTTAAATATAAAATTAAAAGGCCTAAAATAACCAAAAAAAAAAAATTGAAGAATAAGATGAGAGCTTACCTTACCAAATATCAGTATTTGTTACAAGGCTATAGTTATTAGGACACTGCAATATTTACAGTGATTAAAAAAGAAAAAGACTCGTGGATGAGGGCAGAATGTTCAGAAACACACCTCTTCATATTTAGACTCCAGAGATGGCATGAAAAATGAGTGGAAAAAAGATTGAACGTGATCACGGTGCTGGACAAGTGGTTATTCATGTGGGGAAAATTAAATTACATTCCTAATTCATACCGTCACCAAATAGAAATTAAAGATGGTTAGAGACCTGAATGTAAGAAACAAGTTTTTTACAAGTTTAAAAGAAAATATAGAGGACGAAGTCAAGATGGCGGTGTGGGCAGACTCTGAACTCACATCCTCCCGTGGACAGAGCCAATTTACAACTACTCGTGGAAAAATTACCCCTGAGACAGAACTGAAGACTGGATGAGAGGAACTCCTGCAACAGAGCACAATCCTAATTGAGGTGGAAGAGGCAGAGACTCCCTTCTGGAGAGGAAAAACTCCGCCTTCACAAGCCACCAGCTTCGCGGCCGCCAGGGAGCGGCCCACAGGTACGCAGCCTCCCTGGAGGAGCGGGGCCCTGAGCCGGGGAGCGCCCCCGCTGTGGGCATTTTGTGGATCCAGCACAATTGAGACGAGTGGCATAATATCTGACTTTGCCTGCTACTAAAACATTGTGGAGTACCCCCAGAAAAGCTGGTTCACAAAGAAATTAAAACCAGCTCTTAAAGGGCCCACGCGCAAACTCACCCATTTCAGAAAGCAACCTAAAATCACCAGAAAGAAAGGTGCACGGTGCTTTGGTGAAAGGAGACTCACCTGATAGGCCTTGAGTGCATCTCGGTGAGAGGTGGGACCTCT